CCCCAAAACCCCAAAACCCCATGATACATTTATCAAGCGAATTGAATGAAATCAATTCAATAATTAATTAATTTCAAAACTGCAACCATCACCTTCTAGATCAGGTCTAATTGGTAAAACCCATTTCCAACTCAATGGTCCCATTACTGATTCAATATTCTTAACAAAACTTCCTTTATCAAAAGCACTCTAAAAAAATGTTTTTAATATATAAACTATACCTATAATTTCATAGATTTCATTTCAACCATAGTCAAATTGCTTGAAAGCATTCTGAAATTAAACAGTCCTAATCCTAAGGACTATATTATTCCGAATTGACATAAAATCTAGCCAACAATTACCATTATCTTATCCTCTCCCTAAATTTGATTATTTTTCGTAGATTTTACGACTAAAACCACCTCAGTAGTAAAAACATCTGTAGTAAAGTAACTTAGTTAAGTTATAGCTATAGTAGTGAAATATATTATCAAATATATTGTGTAGAGGGTGTAATACTTGTGATTCCTAAATCCAACACAGTTATTACTCCACATACAATGATGATCCATTCTCAGTACACACCTATTAGAGTGAATGTCTAAGGATTTACCTGTTGCAGATCTTACAATGATGAGCTCTTTGGGGTTTGTAGCTTTTGCATTTCACACAAATTTTATGCTTCATATTTTCATCTAAACTTTAATTTTATCAGAAATCTGCTTACTTACTCCTAGATTGAAGCAAATCTTTGTCGTTATTGATTGTTTTAATCATTATTGATATCATTCATAGGCTAATATTGAAGATTGTTCTAGTTTACAGCATTATTTCCAAGGCCAATTTATTAAGAAGTCATTTCAATCTCATAGGTGCTTAAATTGTTGCTAAACTTAAGGTTTATTTACTCTATAGCATTTTTATTAAGCTCTTCCAAGCTAGTTTCACAAACTATAGGGGCTATTGATGATGTTAGCATCGTCCTCAGCTAGCATATTTGACAAACTATAGCTATTATCAAAATCAAGTATTTTAATATCAAGCATAGCAATCTTCTCTATAGACTGAATTAGATACTTAAATCACCAATAGAATGTGAATCATGCTTACTTCTTACTCAACTGCTGGTAGAAATAAAAAGTTAAACTCATAGAAAATATATGCAAAGAGTAGGTATTACATCACTACCATTATATATAATGACTTTTTGTAGCAACTTGAGCCCTTGCTATTTTATGACATTTACTAATGCCCAGATCTGTTAAATTTAAACATTTTAAATAATTATAAAATGAAAAAGGTAGACTTTAAAACTAATAAAGACTCCAAGTATTAGTAAGAACTAGATAAAGAGGAGATAAAGGCCCAAATTGAGACTATAACTCAGTACAATAAGGTGCTGTAGAAACTCGAGATAAACGAAAAAGTACTCAATTGCAACATATATGATCTGTTTTAATATTACAATATGGCATTTTTCGGGAATTCGCTAGAATGCGTAATACTGGAATGGAGCAATAGAATGACTCTGTGTGCTGGACTCTGCTACTATCATGTGAGATAAAGTTTTTGATTTATTGTGAGATTAGGATAAAATGTGCACGATTAGACTTAGCAAGTAATTGCTAAAGTATAGATCAGAGAAGGAACTCCAGGAAACTCTGATTCATGAAATGATCCATGCTCATCTATTTCTGACAAAGAAGGGTTACAGTAGAGATGGTACTGATGGTCATGGCCCTGTAATAGTTAAAAATTCAAAATCATTATAATAGGACTTCTAGTCGAAGATGAAAGAAATCAATGGAATAACTGGATTTAAGATTACAGTATACCATTCATTTCATGATGAAGTAGACAGCTATCGTCAGCATGTCTGGCTTTGCAATGTAATTCATTCTAAATTAATACTAACTTACTTAGGGACCCTGTAGGAAAAAAGCTCCATACTATGGGATAGTCAAAAGATCTAGAAATATGCCGCCTGGACCTTTTGACGATTGGTGTAATCCAAAGATATTTCATAATTCAGTTATTAGGGGAAATGCACCAACAAAAATGTAAGGGTGAATTTATAAAGATTGCAGAACCTGAAGGATACAAGCCTGCTAAAAAGAAAGACTAAGAAGTTTAAGAAAAGAATAAGTTCTCGCCTGACAACACTCTAGATAAGTTCTTTACCAAATCAAAGAAGTAGTTTGATACAAGTCACAATCATGTTTATGAAGAAGAGAAATAGCCTCAAAACGAAGTTGCCAACAAAAAGAAGCGAAAAAGAGATGAATTTGAAAATGGAAATATGAATGATAAAAGTATTAATGAAGAATAGAAGAACAATAAAATTAGAAAACTCAATGACACCAATAGCAATAGCAGTAAGAATGCTGACCCTATATTGGTATTCGATGAAGATGATCTTGCAATGTAGATAGCTCTTCTAAACTAATTCAGTTTGATATGAGATTAATATAATTGTCTGGTTATCTCTTAATTTAATAAATTTAATGCTATAAAAAACTTATCAGTATTATCAATAATAATAGTATTAGTCTAAGCAATATAGTAGTAAATATGGAAAAGCACTATACATGGGATGATATACCAGGGCTTGATAAGGCTTTGGTTTAGCATATCAAGGAAAAATTTGACTTTGACAAGGTGACAAAAGTACAAAAAGCAGTCATTCCTCTGTTCTAGTCTAATAAGGATGTTTGTGTCAAAGCTTGCACTGGTTCTGGAAAGACTCTTGCCTTTGCAGTGCCATTAGTTTAGCAATTGATGAAAATAAATAGTGGAAAAAACAAGTATCAGAATAATGAAGTTGTTGGTCTTATTTTAGCTCCATCAAGAGAACTTGCTATCTAAATCTATAAGGTTGTGGAGCTATTCTAAGAATTGATAGGTGATCTTTAAATACAATACATTATTGGAGGTAATAAACTAGAATACGACACTCAGAGAATTAGAGAAAAGGGGTGCAATATTGTCATAGGTACCATTGGTAGAATTTTTGACTTGCAATCTAAAAACTTGCTTAACTTCAAAAGACTTGAGATGTTGATCATGGATGAGGCCGATAAATTGCTAGAAGATGGCAATGAAAATCAGCTTTCAAATATTTTGATGACTCTGCCAAAGCAGCGAAGAACTGGATTATTCTCAGCAACAATGACATCCTAGCTCAAATCTCTGATCAGGATAGGTATGAGAAACCCTTACTTTGTTGATGTCAGACTTGAGGACCAAGGAATTTTCGCAACCCCCTAAGATATCGTTCATATATAACAGTTTGACTTAACTTCAGATAAGAATGAGTTGAATAGACAGATTCAGGAGATAAATGAGGTGCCCTCAAACCTGGAAAACTTTTATTCTCCAGTTGAGAACCAAGCTTTGAAAATGAAAAGATTCATAGATTTCCTAAAGTCTATTAAACCTTCAAGAATCATTGTGTTCTTTGGCACATGTGCTTCTGTTGATTATCATAATCTTATTCTGCAGTTCTTGATTGATGCTAAGATTTACAAACTTCACGGAAAGATTGATCAGAAAAAGAGAGGCAAAATTTATTAGTAATTCAGGTCATAGGATCACGAGGAGATGAAATGTCATTAGGTGTTGTTGACCACAGATTTGGCAGCCAGAGGTATTGATATTCCAGAAGTTGATTGGATTGTATAATATGATCCCCCTCAAGACAGTGATCAGTATGTGCATAGAATTGGTCGTACAGCCAGAGCAGGTAAATCTGGAAAGTCTCTCATATTATTAATGGACAATGAAGTTGCTTATGTTGAATTCTTAGCCAAAAAGCAAGTTAAAATTGAGGAGCTTAAAATTTAAGAAGCAAAAAATAGTTTGAGTTATGAGCAATTAAGAGAAAAAGTCCAGAATGAGATGAAGTAGGATAGAGATCTGATTGATAAAGCCTCAAATGCATTCGTCAGCTTTGTTAGGTACTATAAAGAACACAGTCTATAGTTTATATTTGTAATGAATATGCTCGACATTGGAGCTGTTGCCAATTCATTCTATTTATTCAAGGTCCCAAGAGTAAAAGAAATTCTAGGAAAACCACTTAAAGGTTTCAATTAAAATAATTCTGTCAGTTATGAAACTGTCCCATATAAAGATAAAAACAAGGAGAAGTAGAAAGAAGGACTATTGAAAAAGCGTCAAGAGAAATTTGAATTCAAAGAGCATGTAAAGGAAGTACAGGCTGAGAAGGACTTGAAGAAAAGGAATGTGTCAAGACAGCAAAAAGTAAGGAGAAAGAAGGAAAATGACTGGAATGAGTGGGAAGAGCTCTAAAAAGAAGAGAACCTTATAAAAAAGCTAAGGAAAGGTAAAATTACTCTGAAGGAGTTCAATGATCTGGTAGATGATGGCTCTGACTTTGAAGACTAATGAGACAAAATTCTATGAATCAAGATAATATGATTTAATTTAATTAACTTGCCTATTTATTGTTTAATTCTTAATTTAATAATTCATCTATTTATGTGCTTCGGGGTTTTGGGGTT